TTGTGGACGTATATATATGTATATGTATATGTCTATGAATTGTTCTACAATTCTAGCGTGGTACCACTCAGCGGTTTCGCTGAGCGTGTAGTTTGTATTTTTCGTTGACTACACGTAGGTAACAAGAAGACAATGATGGAACCACTCCCGGAAGGCATTGAGTCAGAGGAGATGCAAGGATGGCAGGCAAATGTTTGATCATCAAAGAATTTAAATGTGTCATGATTTAATTATTATTGGACTTCCGCATTACTCTGAAAATATTTTTAAACGGGTCGCGATCCAGAGTCTGTAAATTTAATATTTATAAGTAATTGTCATTTTCAAATGTGAAGCGAAATTTTTATTTAACTCTCGTTTCACCTTAATTCGTGTAATTCCGGGTTTTACGGATTGGGGTGTTACATTTTGGTATCAGAGCAAAACGATTTTCGGATCATTGAGTCAGTATTTTCAAATTCTTGCATCCGCATCCTCCTCGACATCTCTGCCCCGGGAAGGTAATCAACAAGTAAGTTATTATGACATAACACACGTACTTAACTCATTGAAAACTTGCTTCCTTTGAGTTGCTAGTATCCTCATAGACTCGATTACAATAATGTTTAGATTGCCTCGAAATGTTCTTCGAGGATCACAGTCGACATCAGAAGATCAAGAAGAGGGACTCTAAACCCGATAAGCGCGACATATATGTATGTCATAGTACGCAAATGGCTAAGTGAACGATGTGAATCAACTTCTTTCAAGCCGAAGAATACGTTGAAGAAAGAATTTTCTCTGATAGAAAGTGAACAAATTCCCCAAAAGTGAATCTGTCGTTTTTAAGAACACGAACAGAGTCTCCAAAACCAGATCGAATACGATATATGTATCGAATCTGAAACACATTAGAGTGAATCTACATAGAAACATTAAGATAATTGACTCGTTCGTATACCCTATTGACGTGAAAAGTCGCAACAAGATGACAGTGCAAAACAAGTTGTGAAATAGTTAATAGTGAGAGACTGGAACATAAAGAAGAGGATTAATATTTACATGGTACATATTGATGTTGGAAATAAATACTCTTCTGAAATGCACTGATCATGCAGCTTAGAACGAGATTTGTGACTAGCCATAATGTACATGGACAATATTATTTCAACTTGGAAATGTTACAGATGCAACTCTAAGTCTAACCTTCCAGGACAATATTATTTCAACGTGGAGATTAATCTGCCGGCGGTATCAACCCGGGGCAGCAGCTGGATGCGGCGACGGTGGCGGGCGCCGGCGTACAGTGGCGGGGAACCAGTAGCTCGCAGAAATCACAAACAAAGGAGCAGATCCGGTGATAGCCTTTGTCCGGCGGAGTCCCTAGCTACAACAGCGGCGAACCGGCGATGTATTAGTCCGGTGAGTGGCAGCGACCGCCGGCGAAGGTGGCGACCCGGCGTGGCGCTGCTCCAGAGATCCAATTGCAGAGGAAATTGCGAGGAAGATGGAGATGGGATGAGTGCTAACCTGGGGTGGCGACGTGGTGTGGGGTTGCGCAGCGATTGAGGGAGTCTGGCTGGTGCGGAGAGGAGGCGGAGGTTTGGCTCACGCGACGCCGGCTTGGTCGAACGGCAGGGGTGAAGGGAATGAGACGCGTAAGGTCTCCGTATCGTACACGCGTATAAATGAAATTAGGGTTTTAAGTTTATTTAATGATCCCATTCCTAGAAGGATTGGGCTCCGCACCCAAAATACCTGATTAAACGGGCATAACATGAGCTCCATAACTCCGATTCGTGAGCCGTTTGAACCGACGTGATCACAAAAATATTTCCTACGAGATGACATAAAAGTTGGGCTTAAAATCCAAATTATAATTTTAACCCCCTTTTTAGGCCCACTTCGTAATCAATTGATCTAACGAATTTAATTAATTCTTTTGGGCCAGATTTCGGGGCGTTACAAGTATGCTTGACTTAGGCAATGATTGTTGAGTTAAGATGCTTGATAATGTTTAGGAAATTAATGTGAACCTATTGGCATTTGTTATTATGAGAATTGTTATTGGTTCATGCTCTGTTGATCTGTGTTTTCGTCTAGGATTGATTCTGAGACTCCATGTGAGCATGACAGTAATCATGGGCCTTCGGTTCTGATAGGCCGCTATTTGATATGTTGGTGAATAATGAATTTAGATTTGAACTAAATTAATCTTATTGGTGATTATTGTGAATTGTGAATAATATTGGGAATAGGCCACATAGTATAATTAGGCGGACTTGAATTGGATTAACTGATTGTATCACCAATAGGATAGGTTTAGAGTTTAGGCCATTGTGGGGCGTCGTCGCACACCCGGTGGTCTTGGGTTAAAAACGTACGTACGGAAGCCCTTGAACTGTCTTGGCATCGCAGAGACAGGGGCTTCAACCCGCCCAGAGTGAATCTCCTTTGGGTTTTCTAGAGCTGGCCCTTTTATAGCATCGCTTGGGGTGTCATGACTCATAGGTATATGAATTGTCTTAGCCATCATAGGTTAAGAGATGTGATTTGGAATAATGAATATGAATATTGTAAGATGTTTTGAATATTAAATATTACTATACCTGCATGCATTATATGCGAAGATAAATGTTGACTATGCGTGATATATCTTGTATGCCATATGATTGTTGCCCAACATGTTGTGTGCATGATATCATGTGATAATTGTGAATTAGCGGATTCGCCCAAGTGTATGTTCGAACTGTTAGATATTTCTCACTCAGCTTATCGCTGAGCGTGTAGTTTGTTCTGTGTTTCTACACGTAGGTAATTACAAGCTGATCCTGGAGGGTACAGAGATGGAGAAGATGTACGGATGCAGGGCTCAAACCGTTAACAGATATGATGGTTTTAATGTAACTTGTTTTCTGATAATGATCTATTAAAGATGTTTATTTAAAATAACAGTTTTGCTTCCGCACTATTTTGAATTAACTCTGATAAACGTTTAAGTTTTAATTGAAATGTTTGGATGTATAAATTAAATATTTTTAATTTATTGGGAATGTTGTGTGTGGATACCAATTTAGTAGCAACCCGATCCGCTAACTTATTTATTCGGGTTATGCGGGTTGGAGTGTTACACCCGTACACACGTTTGTACTCGAATAACAGTTGGACCCGGAAAGTACCACATGGCTCTAATCTTTCTATACTTATGACATATTTTGTCTTTATTCCATTCAGGTCAAATCCTAGAGTTCCTATAGGTTCACATGCTACTTTAATGTCGTATTACATTTACAAGTGCATATCACACAATATAAGCATAATCATATTCAACATAAACAAACATGATCAAATATCGACCTATCACTGGGTGTGAACACCCATGCTTACCATCATGCAACATACAAAGTCTTGGAATAAATCCTCGACACGAAAACAGGTTCAGAAACAATTTTGTGGTACTAGACAATGCCTGGTCCGGTATCTAGGTACCGTCGAGGCGGTACCTGATACCAGCTAGGACACCAGATGGCCTATGGCGGTAGCAGTTACCATCCCGATAGTAGGGTTTACCGTTCGTCTGGTACCTAGGTACCAAAAGATCACAGATTCTGCCAGCAGATTTTGGCCTGTGGTGGTACTAGGATACCGGTAGGTCAGTACCTTGTTACCGCATGACGCGATGTTTTCTGTTCCTGCACCAGCTCGAATTCGAGCAACACCAGTTCCATACAATTCAATACCAATATGTTTATAATACAATTCCTAACCATATCCAACCTTAGCTCGATTATAATTGTATCAAATCATGCTTTCTAACCAACAAACTATCAATGATCAAATCGAGTTGTCACACATAGGGTTTCACAAAAATCAATGATAATGATTTTATGAACGTACGATTCAAACCTATAGATATAACCTAGTGCTAGATGTCCACGTACTCACCTCAAATCCGACAAAAGATTAACTAGGAAGGTTGAACTGACGAACGACGGTGATGGCACGATCTTCCTCTTCTCCCTCTTCCTTCTTCTATGTCTTTCGGCTCTGTTCTGCTATTTGGAGCGACATGAGACGAGAGAGAGTTGTAAATATCCGTGGCAACTAGGGGTTTAGGCGCATAAGGGGTAGTATTTATAGGTTTGGAGTTTTGGGCTCTCTAATTTAGTAACGTATCTCGATATAATAATCTTTTTCAGGTCAACGTACTCCGAATTTAAATTCGTTTGCACCGTTGGATTCATCTCGTCGAATCATACACAATGATATAATTTTTATATTTTATTAACGAATATTTAAAATAAACTTTGGGTCCATCTCAATAATTAATTAATTATTCTTAATTAAATAATTAATTCTAATAGGCCGGGTTTCGGGGTTATTTGTCTCCTCCTTGAAAGGGGAGACCGGCAATGCGGCTAAGTGCCTCCACTGTCAACTCGATGTGTTTTTCATTGACGTGGGATTGGATGACGTTGCCTTCACGCCGGAGGTTAAATCTAAAGGCCTGAACAAGTACCAGATTATTGTTCTTCTGGGATTTGGAGACAAAAGGCCACGATCCAGATTGGTGCAGCTGGGCGTCCAGGATGTCGTAGTCCTTTTTCTCCGAATTGGTTCTGAATGAAAGAAAGTAGAATTAAACTGTTTTTATCCTAAAAGTTGTATCCTAAATTGTACATCATAGGTATACACTTTCATTTTGGAACAATTTGATGTTAGTATGATGGTTTACGCAACTACAAATGCTATTGCAAATTTTATTGATTAGACTAATGTGAAGGTAAAGTATCAAAATTCTCGAGAGTCTAGTAAAAAACCTCTACCTTTGATTTGACTTCAACAAAAATAAATACGGAGTATAGCAAAACATTTCGCGGGCGCTCTAGTGCGTTAGCAAAGGATCCGCACAAGAATTTGATAAACTGTGTAGATATAGGTATAAAGATGGCCGGCGGCTATGTTAGATCGGATGATGATTACGATTACTTGTGCAAGGTGGTGCTGATTGGTGACTCCGGCGTCGGAAAGTCGAATCTGCTGTCCCGGTTCACTCGGAACGAGTTCAACCTCGAGTCAAAGTCCACCATTGGCGTCGAGTTCGCCACCCGCAGCATCCGTGTTGACGACAAGGTCGTCAAGGCTCAGATTTGGGACACCGCTGGTCAGGAAAGGTACTTTGTTCTGCTTCTCTTACTTTTTTGGTTCACGCGCGCGCGTGATTTTGTAGTTACGGCGGTACTGGAGAACTTAAACTACCGGATAAACTGTGGTTCGATTTCGTGCAGTTTGAATATAGTGATAATAAAGTCAGGGCTTTTATTTCTGTAGCTGTCCAAGCTTTTTGATTTTGAAAATATGTATGCGGTAGTGCTGAATGATGTTAGATCTGGGTCATAAATTTATCGGATTTAGGACTTGGAAGTGACTGCTTGCGTAGAAATCTTACATTTTATACTCAATAAATCTCATTATGCTTCATCTGCAATGGTTTATTAAGCTGCTATATTTTCCAGATATTTCGTGTTTGATGAGAAACCTTGTTAAGAAACAAATATATATGAGGTTTCATAATTCAAAAAAGAATATTTTCCTGAAACATTTTTTAGTTCTTTCCACAATGCTAAAAATAATCTGAAATTTGCTTTAGATCTCTAACGTTGTTAGTCTTTTTGCTAGCATGCTGATGATGTGGCGTGAATATGTAATTCAACTAGATCATAGCTAGGCGTGACAAATCAACAAAATACCCTACAATTCTCTCATATTCCTTTGAATTGGCAATTTTTGTCAATTAAACTAAGTGCAAATTCATGCTAAATGAGCAAAAACTAAGAAGATTTTAACTGCTTTAGTGGGCCGATTATGAATATAAAACTGAAGCATAATTGTTACAGTATTATTTGTAGCAATATTGTTACTTGAGCTTTTTTTTGAACACCAGTGGCATCCAAACATGGGATTGGACGTAACAGTTTTTTCTTTGGAAAAACCATGTTGTTGGAAGGTTTCTAAAGTCTTCATTTTTGGATATTACACAACTTAGACTATTTGGTGGTCAAGTTCATATAAGTGACCTGCACAAAGCCACTAATGTAATGTAATTACTGCCAATACTAATTTAGAAAGGCAAAATGTAAGTTATCGACCAATTAAATACTCCGTACAAATTCGCAGAGTTGCCTTCTCATGTCTGCTTGCAGTTTGCTAGTCTTCATGATTTACCAATTAATGTACAAGAGATTTGTCTTTCCCTCGTTATCTAGTATCTAATTTTCTATATTTTACTTTTCTCTAATTTTACAAAATGGCATCTCATTTAAGTGTGTGTGATTTTTTTTCTAAAATTTTACGAATGGTATTTCTTTCCTAAGATAGTGTCTCAGGTATGACCTTTCAAATGTCCTGAAATGGTTTTTCTCTCTTTACTTGGACTTGCTTTCATTACCACCATCCATCCTACATTTCTTTTTTGCTTTTTTCTGTTTTCAACAGGGACGTACTATATAAATCCAGTTTGCAATTCTGCTATTGTTGAACTGTCAAATGCGACTATTTAAGTGCTTGCATTAGTGTTATTATTTTTACAAACTACTAGTTACATTGAAATTAACCAGATTCCTTTTTTCCTCTGTTATTTCTTATCTATTATTCTTGATGGAACTCCAAAGATACCGTGCCATAACAAGTGCTTACTATCGAGGGGCTGTTGGGGCATTGCTTGTATATGATGTTACCCGTCATGTGACATTTGAGAATGTTGCGAGATGGTTAAAAGAGCTAAGAGATCACACCGACCAGAACATTGTCATAATGCTGGTGGGAAATAAGGCCGACTTACGCCACTTGCGGGCTGTTTCCACCGAGGATGCAAAGGCATTTGCTGAAAGAGAGAAGACCTTCTTTATGGAAACATCCGCTCTCGAGTCCTTGAATGTTGAGAATGCTTTCACAGAAGTTCTGACCCAGATTTATCACGTCATTAGTCGGAAAGCACTCGAGGTTGGGGATGATCCTGCGGCTCCACCAAAGGGGCAATCCATAGATGTTGGGGGCAAGGCTGATGTTTCAGCCCTAAAGAATGTCAACTGCTGCTCCGTCTGAACACTCAGAGCCTACTTACCCGTAAATGCATTCGCCTGTTTTTCCCAACTGTTATTGTGAAATGTAGTGTTTTTCAATTATAGCCTCAACTCTTTGCCGGAGGATGATGTCCACTCAAGCATTTCATATGTATTGTTTCATTTGTATATCGTTCAGACTAAAGAACTTTAGGAGCTGCTAATAGCTTTAAAAATTTCTATTTACTTTTGCTTGTAAGAAACCGTTCTTCACGTTTATTCAAAATCATTCCCAGGTTGACGGATGATTGAGACACATTGATGTACTCTATTGTACTACGCTTCTAGTCTAATACGGAGTGGACATATTTTTAAATATTTGATTCGTATTCTTTTATAAAATATAATTTTTTTTATTTTTTTACATTTTATAGCTTCAAAAATTAGTAAAAAATTATAGACGTAAAAATCTATAATGAGAGACGTAAAAATCTATCATGAGCACATACGCGATGATGGAATTGCTATTGAAATCATGCTAGCCTCAATGTCAAAGGAGCTCTCGCTAACCTTAGTGGGGTTAAATCATACGATATGGCGTAAAAATCTATCATGAGCTCATGCTAGCCTTAGTGGGGTTAAATCATACGATATGTTCGTGCGATTAAGTGATGTCTTCATAGGGGATGACGAGCATGAAAGGTATTTGGCTGCGAAGGACCACTGTGACAGCCTGAAGAGAAAAAGGGGTGATACTTCTACTTCTGGTATGTATGTTATAAAAGTTAACATGTCTACTTCCTCTGCAGGGGTACTTGATACGGGATGCAGATCTCATATTTGTACTTCAATGCAGGGACTAAAGGAAAGTAGAAAGTTAACTCGTGGCGAGGTTGAACTTCGAGTTGGCAATGGCGCAAAAGTTATGGCACAAG